TGGATGTCTCGTACTCCTTTCCTCTTGGAAAAGCTCTTCTCCAAGACTTGCTTTATCTTTTATAACCTCTGTCCTCCTGGAGGTTTATAATAGAGGAATTACAGCTGGCTTCTGGGAGCCTCGAAAGTACCTCCTGTATCTCATTTCTTGGTTTCACATTAAGTCTTTTCCCTGTCTCTTTCATCCTCCTTGCTAGAAGAAAGACAAGCTGCAGATTCACTGTCTCCCCAGGCTGCTGCAGTCCTCACAGTTACTCCCAGTTCACCAGCTGTTTACGTGCCTCCATAGTGACTTTGCATTTGCCAGAGTACAGCTTACATACTATAGTTATGGTGCTATTTCACATTTCCCAAACAGGACGCTAAATCCCTCACCCAGTGTCTTTAAATGGGGAATCTGACAAAGCTCAGGCACCCACATTTATCAAGAAAGCTGACTTCAGAAATTCCTGAGCTGCAGTGCTCTAGAGACTGGGACGGTGAGCCAAGGAAGAATTACCCTACACTTGCCTTTTTCTTCTATTCTCACCTGTGCCATTGGGCTAGAAATTTGGTATGTGCCATTACAGCACTTCTTGTTCTCAGGTTGTACAGTGACCCATAATCCCCTGCTAACTCCCAGGAATCCAAAGGAATCATCAGCATCAGGGCATTACATGTAGATGCAACAGGGCTGTGGGCACTTCAACTCCCTGCATGTTTCACCAGTGGAGTCCAATCCAGACCACAAAACAAACTAAAAACACTGGCTACAGCGCATGACACAGAAGCCATTTTTAAATAAGAGGTAGCTGCCCTCTCTTTGTCTTTCGAAGACAGTGCTTCCCAGCCTCTGGGCAGAGCTGCCCAGGAAAGACAACTAGCAGAAGCAAACCTACCTTTCAGAGCGTGTTTAAACTCACAACGCAGGACTCCACTGGGAACTTTTAAAGAAAAAGTTTAGGGAAAGTGTATCAACGCCAGCTGTGTCATAGTCTTTGGCTGCGTGGATAGGCCACTCCCTGAGCAGCAGGAACACTCCTGTGCCTGGATCCATGCCTGGCTGACACAGGTGGGCATTTCCACCGCCAGACCCGCGCTGACACCAGAGAGATCTTCACTTCCATGCAGCGCCCCACGCAGCAAATGATGCAAAACTATCAGAGAAAGACTGTCTTACCAGAGGCGACAGCTTGAGCTGAAGGAGCCGTGGTTCTGGGCTCTGCCCCCTGACCTCTGGGCTTTTTATCTGGCGACTGTTTAATGCGAAAATCACAGTACGCACAGCCAGCCTGGTGTCCCACCCTGTGGCTCCTTCCCCGCTGTCCCCAACAGGAGCGGGGGGGGCTCCACAACAGACTGCGAGAGACCACATGAATCCACCTCAGTTGTTTGTCAGAACATCGTCCAACCAGCAGCCCTGTGGGCCGCTTGTTCCGTTCTGCCAGCGCGGGTGACAGCAGGCGCCGGGCTGGCTACAGGCCCTCCCCGCTGCACGGGCGCTTTGGGACGGCAGGTGAACGGCCAGAACGGGGCAGCACGGGGCTGCACCGCCT